AATCTATATCATTTCCTAGACATTTCCAAATCATGCCATCCTTTACCTTTTCCATATTGTCTTTCCCACTAGAATGTAAGGTCTCTAAAGGAAGAGGCTGTCTTTTTTTTTGTAGAGTTATCCCTTCCACATTGTAGGGCATTAGGGGAACGGTGCCCCCACAGTCTGGAAAAGTCTGCATACAAATTTGGTCCTCACTTTGTAACAGAGAAGAAGTCTAAATTTTTTTCTTTTTTTCTTATCGTACGTTTATAATACCTTATTATAAAATTTGCATATTGTTATGGTGTTAAAAGATAAAATATATTGATATTATATAATACTATACATATATTTTATGCATTTCTAAGTTTCTAAACATTTTCTGTATCACCCACTAGCCTTCAAGTATCATCTGCAGCTTCCGCAAATTCCCCAGGGATTCCTATTTAATTTCTTATGCTGACCGGCAATGTATCAAAACCACCATGGGAAAAGTCATGATGTGGAAAGGATAACTATATCTGAATCCTTAGTACTTAGCATAGTACTCGCACACAGTAAGCTCTTAATAAATGCTTTATCATCATCATCATCATCTCACTCCTGGTGTACTGCACTAGTCTCCTACCTTTCTTCTCTTTAACCTCTTCCCCATCTACCTTGTACTCCATCTACCTTATACACTGCTTTCAGACTAATTTCTTTGAAACCACTTTTATTGTGTCACTCACAGGATAATAAGAATGGGAAGGAACTTAGAGATCATTTAGTCCAGCCCTTCTTAAACTGGGGGGGGGGGAGGGATTGTGAAAAATTTGGCAATAGTAAAAGGTTTCTGAATGTGCAACAACCAAATCATAATTAAAATCAAACGTGTAATGCATCTGAGGTGTTTCTGGAAGCACTTGCAACTTCACTGCAGCCTTGGTTATGAACACAAAGCATGCACACTTTGCACTGTCCATGCTCAGGCCATGCAATGCCAACAAACACTGCTGAAACCCAAAAAGGGGTTGGGTCACAAGTGGGCCCTGGTCTAGTCCATCCCGCTCGTTTTACAAACAAGAAAGTCCCTTCTCAGATACTTTCAATGGCTCCTCATTTCCTACTCCATTGAATCAAGATCTCTTTACCTGTAAAGAAGGTCCTCCTTATAGTGGCCTTACCTGCCTTTACAACCTATCTCCCAACACAAGCCTCTCATTCTAATCCTCAATGCCTATCAAACATTTCTCTTTCTAGTCCTTGACTCATAGTTTTTCCAGATTCTATCCAACAGGAGTGGGAAGTTCCTCCACATGTCTTTGTCCAACCTGTCCTCCCCCTAGCCCCTGCCCCAGAAGACTCTCCTTCCTCATGTAACCACTTGAAATTTCTGGTGCCTTGTGATGAAATACTACTGGGCTCAAAGAAATGATGAACTGGTTGGTTACTGAAAAATGGAAAGACTTGCATGAAATAACGAAAAGTGAAGTGAGCAGAACCAAAAGAACATTACATATGGTAATAGCAATGTCGTTTGAAGAATAATTATGAACAACCAAGTTATTCTGAGTACTATAAATACTCAAATCAACTATAAAAGACCTATGAAGGAAGATGCTATCCACCTCCAGAGAAAGAACTGATAAATAGAAGTACATATAGTATAGTTTTACATATATTTGTAAAACTGTGTCAAATGATGATTTTGTCTAGTTTGAGGTGGGGAGGGAGTGAGGGAGGGAGATAATTTGGACCTTAAAATGTAACAAAAATATATAAATTTAAATTAAAAAATTTCTAGTGTGCTATTTAAGGCTTAGTCCAAGTGCCACCTCCTACATAAGACCTTTTCTTATCCCAACCCCCAGTTGTTAGTCCTTTTGCATCCCACCACAGTCTCCTGAAATTACTTTGCATCTTAAATATTTAATTATCTGTGTATATACTGTTTTCCTACAACAGAATATAAGCTCTTTGAGGGCAGGGATTATTCTAGCTTTGTATTCTCATACCTAGCATGGAGCCTGGAAAACAGCAGGCACTTAATAAACACAAATTGAATTTTTAAAAGAATACTTTCAATGTTTTTTTAAATGCTTTCTATATTATCAAAACACAATGAGATGAAGCAGGTCAACCAATTATAGAGAACCAGAGCCAGTAAAAGAGGCTAGACCAGATGATCTCCCAAAGGTCCCTTCCGCCTCAATGAGCCTATGGCTAAGGGCAAGAAAGTCAAATAACATTAACAAAGCTAAAGTGACACAGGTTACCTGCTTCCCATTCCAAACCTCTGAGTATCTCCATATCATGAACAAGCATCCAGCTAGCCACCCAAATGGTAAACAGGTGGCAGGTGGTATTCCAGCTACATATGCCTCCATATGCCAGGCCTCAGGCAGTATGTCTGAAGTGTGTGGAGTTCTCTGACCCCAACTCCCAAGTACCCTAGTCACAGGACATAATAATAACACCTTGCATTTGTGGAGCATTTTGAAATTATTGTCTTCTTTTGTCTTCATACCAACCCTAGAATGTGAGGAAGGCATCATCCCCAGTTTACAAATTGAGAAACTGAGGCATAGGAAACTGATTGACTTCTCCTGGGTCTCAAAGGTGCTAAACAATAGAGGAGGAACCAAAATGCAAATATTTTTATTATTAACCCAGTAATGATGATGATGATGATGATGATAACAATAATAATAATAATAACAATATAGTAATATCTCACATTTATGTAGTGCTTAAATTTTAAAGCAGCCAAGTGGCACAGTAGATGGGGTGTTGGGCCTGTAATGAGGAAGACTCATTTTTCTGAGTTCAACTATGACCTCAGACACTTATTAGCTGTGTGACCCTGCGCAAGTCACTTAACCCTATTTGCCTCAATTTCCTCATCCATAAAATGAGCTGGAGAAGGAAATGGCAAACCACTCCAGTATCTTGACTAAGAAAACTCCAAATGAGGTCACAGAGTGTCAGACATAACTAAAAAAATGACAAGAACAAAATTTACCAAACATGTTTTACAGAAGAAACCTGTGAGATAGTGCAGATATTACCCAAATATTCAAAGGATCTGTGATTTCATCAACATAACGAATTGTCCCAACCAATGCTGATCACAACCCATATATGACACATAACCTCAATCCTAAGGTATTGTCTCAGACACATATGAGGTGAAATGATTTGCCCAGAGTCACAAAGCAAGTAAAAAAATCAGAGGTAGCATTTGAACCCAGATTAGGAATTCAAACTAATTCTATTTTGTAATTGGTTCTATACTGTATTTATTTTGCATTGTAATTGATTCTATATCTACTTAAGACCCCTTCCTTGAGTTGAGCTTAGGAATTTAGCTTTCTCTCTCAGTTAGTTTAAAGTTATAATTAATGGGTAAAACTGTTACCTACCATACCTTCAGCTTCTGGGAAAATTTCAGGATGTATGTTTGTCATCTTTAAGCCCCACAAGTTAACCTAGAACCCCCCCCCAAAATATATCATCTGAATTTGCCTATCTTTGTGCAATTAGGGGAGTTTTATTACTTTCAAAGAGACAGCAGTATGATAATTTTTGATCCCCTAGCAAAGATTATAAGTTGCAGATGGGTACCATAAAACAATTAACATTCCTTAATTTTCAGAGAGGTGATAGCCCACTTTCCTTGACATAACCAATCATGTTGTCCCCACCACCATGATACTGTCTACCATGTAATCAGTTGCACTGTCTTCCCCACCTACTCAATTCTGTTCTTCGTTCTTTTGTACTTCCCAAAACTAAACAAAGACTAGTCGTGGTCTTTTGGTCATTGAGAGGGCCCATTAACCCAATTTATTGGTTATTACTAGCCTAATTAATAAATTGATCATGCTTGGAAGCTTGTCTCTCAGTTTACCTTAATTACCAAATGTGACACAGTTCTTCCTGACTCCCGCTCTATTAATTCCTCCATGCAACTCTCGGGAAAATATTAATAGCTCCACTTTATAAAGAAAGCTCAGAGTGTTTAAATGACTTGCCCACAAGGTAGCTAAATAACACAGTGGAGAGAACACTTGGCCTGGAGTCAGGAAGACCTGAGTTCAAATCCAAACTCGGACACTCTCTGTGTGACCTGTCATTTAACCTCTGTTTGCCTCAGTTTCCTCAACTGTAAAACGGGAATAATGATGGCACCTACCTCCCAGAATTATTGTGACGATCCAATGAGATGCTATCTGTAAAGCACTCAGCACATTACCTGGTACATAAGAGGGACTTAATAAATGCTTATTTATCCCTTCCTCCTTTTGCATCTTTTCCTTCCTTCCCTCCCTCACTCCTTCCTTTCCTTCCTCACTTCCTTTCTTCCCACAGTCACACAACTAGTAAATGTTGGTGCCTGCATTCAAGCCCAGGTCTCCTCTACCCAAGTCCAACATTCTTTCCATTAAACCACATTGACTCTCAGTGAACCAGCCCTCCAAAGCACTAGGACTTTCATACCCTCACAAATGAGCTGACAAATAGCCGTGGGCATGCCTGAGGACTCAGGGCCAAAATAATGGCCTTTCACTTAGGGCCTTTCCGTGGAATATGGTTCCAATTATGGGAAACATACCAAAACGGAGAACAGAAAACCTCCTCTCCCTGTCCCCACCCACTCATCTGACTAACATTCAGATCTTATTCTCCTCTTTATAGTAGCCCTTGCTGGATGTTTTTCAAGTTACACTGTCCGACTGCTTGTGACAAAAGTTCAGGCTCTCCTCCCTGGAATGAGGAGCAATGTCCTTCCTGAGGTAGTAGGAAAAGCCCTGGCTCTGGAGGCAAAAGAGCTGGGTTCTAGTGCTGCCTCTAACGCTTACTACCTGTGCACCCTTGAGCAAGTTACTTAACCTCCTCTTGGATTCTGTTTCCTCAGACATAAAATGAGCAGAGTGGACTAGGTGCCCCCTGAAGTCTTTTCAAACTCTAGCTCCGTGATCTTATGGAGTATTTTCTGTAATTGCCTTTCTTTCTATGTAGAGCCCCTGACTTACCCGTCCTCTGGTCCTGTTCTTTCGTTTTGGAGTATCTTCTTCTAAATCCTCCTCTTCGTTCACTTCTTCTACGTTTTCATCATTTTCCAGAACCCTCTGAAATTACAGAAAGAGAGCGGGAAGGTTTGAAGAGGGAATAGCCAAGAAAAGAGGGAAAAAAGAAGAAGGGGAAGGGGGAAAGAATTCAACCAATCAGATTTTTTATAATTATTATTATGGCAGAGAAATTTTAAATGAAAGCAATCTTAGCGATGCCTGGAAGATAGAAGTGCTGCCCATGGATTTGGTAACTTGGCTATATGTATCTTTTCCCAACACCATCAACCTCCTTTAACTTAGACATTTCAAAACCATCAAACTTCAGCTTTTTCCCAAGAAGAGATTCCTTTAAAAAAAACTGGCATTAAAGAAATCCAAGTAATCAATAGCTATATTTTTAAGAGATTGAAATCACTAATAATTAGGAAAATTAACTTTAAAACAATTCTGAGATTCTACCTCATGCCTGTCAGATTGGCAAAGATGACAAAAAAAGAAAAATAACTAAAGAAAGATAGGCAGTGGAGCACCATTGGTGTAACTAATTGGTTCATCCATCCTGGAAAGCAATTTGGAACTCAATTGTGTACATGCTTTGAACCAACTATTTCCACTTCTAGATACCAAAGAGATCAAAGAAAGGGGAAAAGACCCATATGTACAGAAACACAGCTGTGTCTCAATTAGTATATATAAAGAATCCCCCTGAAGTAAAATCATGTTATGAGAATTCACACTGCATATTTCTGTTGGGCTAGAAGCAACTGCCATGGTTTACACAATCATAACATTGAATACTGTACATTTGAATACATATGACCACTTTATGGAATTCATTATTTGCACAAACCAGGATCTAGCTGTTATTATATAACAGCACTTTTTGTTTAGCCAAGAACTGGAAACAAAGGGGATGCCCATCACTTGAGAAATGGCTAAACTAATTATGGTATATAGATATAACAGAATAATATGCTATAAGAAATGATGAAACGGAGTTTCAGAGAAACTTGGCAAGATTTGTATAAATTGATACAGAGTGAAATAAGCAGAATTAGGAGAATGGTTCATTCATTAACAATAACACTATGAAGAAAAACAACTTGGAAAGACCAGATTTGATCAATGCAATGTTACCACTCCAATGAACCAACGAGAAAGCATGCTACTCACCTCTTGACAGAGGGGTGATAGACTTGGGTTGCATAACTAGATATACATTTTTTTGATATGTTGTAACTCAGAGTTGAAACCTAAGCATCTGCATAAGACTCTCCTCATTGGTGGAAAGAACAATGACTCAATGCTCCATACCTGCATCTGGGCAGAGTTGGTGAGAGCTTGGAAAAGGAGAGATCCTTTTTCTGGCTTCTGGCTTTAAGAGGGGACGCACACAGTCCCAGGCTCTCTTGAGGGGGAGGCCACAGGAAGGAAAGAAAGACTCTGGGAAAAAGCTGACCTGTAGAGGAGTTAACACATGCCTAGTTCCAGTTAACTCCACACTAGAGACTTCTGGGTCTTTCCTCTTGGGTGGGATCAGACACTCTCTTAGCCGATCTGTGATATTATAGGATGAATGGGAGAACTTCAATTCACTCTGTGCATTGTCTAATACGTTGTAATCTATATATTTTGTCTGGTTTCTGTTTGAAACTGGCTCAGATAAATGGGTTTCTTTGTGATTCACTATTTTTGATAGTCTTTGTATAACTAGTATCTGGTGAGAAAGGAGTCAAGCCTTCAGTTATAACTTGGGACACACACTCCTTCCCCATTAAGAGAGAGCAATCTGGTGAGTAGCTTGAACTCATATATATATATATATATCCCTCAGCCTACAAATATTTAGCTTGGGGGACAGGGGGCAGGAAACAAGTATGGTGGCAATGCAGATAGATAATATTCTAGTCTGATATCCTCTCTGTGAGAAGAACAAAGTGGTCCAGCCCCATGACTTGATCTGTTATTCCCCTCCTGGCAAAATTAAAGTCTCCCTTGGAGACAGGTGGATAAGATTTCAGAAATATCTATTCATATGTCCCTGTAAGCAATATTTAGACAGAGTCCACGTAGACATTTATATATCTATATAAGCAACAAGTACACACTTATAATGGTAAATGTGAAGGCTTGTTTTGCTTGACTAAGCTTATTTTTCATTAGTTTTTTCAACTAATTATCATTTGTTTTCTCTTAATCCCACAGCAGCAACCCCACATCCCCCAAAAAAGCAAAATCCTTGTAACAAATATGCATAGTTAAGCAAAACTAATTCTGGCACTGGCCATATAAAATAGATGCCTTATTCTTCGCCCTGAGTCCATCACCTCGCTGTCAGGAGGTGGGTAGCATTCTTCATCATTAGTTCTCTAAAATCTTAAGTCTTTCAGGGTTGTTCATTCATGGCAAGTAGGAAGAGAAGTCTTGTGGAAGAGTATCTAATGATAGGACTGCCCAAACAAGAAAAAAGGGTCATTGAAGCATTTTTTAATGCATAGAAGAGAGCTGAAGGAAGATCAGAAATAATCCCACACAAGCAGGACAGTTTTGAAAGCAACATGTTGAATGTATTATTTTTTAAAGAAAAGAAGAGGAATTTGTATGTAATATTTATGTTTTCACATATAATCCTCTTCTGTTCAACTTTGTATATGGAAATATTCTCTTTTCTGGTATTCATTAAATTCAAGATAGTAAATAAATAATTTTAGATGGTCCAACAAAGCTCTCTCTATATCCGTCTAAGAGGTTTCAATAAAGCTTTTTAAAAAGCATAACTGTTCCTTTTATTCTTCTTGAAGTTTCCTCTTAGAAATATGAAAATGTCATTTCTCTTCTACCCCTGCCATTCTGGAACTTTGCTCTGTTTGAGGAAAACAAGTAATTTCTTATTTACCTGATCAGGTCAATGTTAACATAACCTATTGTTGTGAAAGCATAATAAATTTTCACCATTTAAAATTCATTACTTAGTAGTGACTGCATTTTTATTTGGTTTAATGATCATTTATTTAATTACTCCTTGAAAACAATCCTGAGAGTTTCACTTAGCATTATTATTTTCATTTCACAAATGAATAAGCTGAGGGGGCATATATTTCTAACTACTTAATATTACGGGCATCAGATTTTGCTGGCTGTCAGTGTCCAGTCCATTACTTGACTTCTTTGATAAGACTACATTGGCATCTCTGTCATGCCCTTCATTTAGCCTATTTGCACCTCTTAGTTAAGTGAGTATGTATTAATTATATTTTTCAGAGTTTTTTGCATGGATTAAAAGGACATGGGACCATGATTCATGATGGGAAAAAAAAAATCAGTTAACTTGCTGTCAGGAGTCCTGTGTCCTAAATGTGGCTTTGTCATTTACTTATTTATAACCTTAGGTAACTTACAGCTTCATTCTGCTCCTTTACCATCTTAAAATGAAACTAATACGATCATCCTGACCTACTTTCTCTCCACATAAGTCCTCAATGCCCCATCATAGCATAGAGAGGACTCTGGTATTTCAAAAGTTATGCCCAATGAATATTGGTCTTATAGGCTGTGCCAAGCCTCTAAGGCTTGCAGTAAGGGCCTGGTGATGAGCTGTAGATTCAGTGTGTCATCAGTCAAAGGCTTAGCCACCAGATGATGAATTCCTTTTGACTATAGAAATTTATATTATCTACTAAGGCATGGAGGAATTATAATTTTTATCAATAGAAGAAATGCCCACACATAAAAAATTACTAATATTTAAAGGATTAGAATAGTCTCCAGTCTCACCAGATTATTGCATGGGTAAAATGGCATCATGTCTATGGAAAACACTTTGAAAAGTATCAAGTGCTGCTTAGAAATTAGGAATTATCATTCGTATCACTTCATTTGGCAATATTTGACACCATTTCCAAGCCTTACACACAAAGCCAAAGCCTCATGAGAGATAGTTGTACAGCCTTCTCATGCCACCTTCTTGCCAAGAAAGGATGCCCTATATTCTGACCCCAGTAAATAAAATCATGCTATCAATAATAAAATACCATCAATGTATATAGAACAGTCACTGGCATTTACATAGCACTTACGGTTTATAAGGGCTGTCCTCAAAATGACTGTAGATGAGGTAAGAAGAACATTATTGCTCTCCATTTTGAAGAAGAGGAAGCTGAGATTTTGAGTTCACAGGGACCTGACTATGGTCATGCATCTCCTGGGTCTATGAACCAAGGTCTCCTGACTCCAAGTCCAGGGCTCTTTGCATGAAGATTATGCTATTGCATAATGTATATCAGCGACAGCTAGGTGGTACAGCTAGGACAGAGTGTGAGGCCTACAATTAGGAAGACTCATCTTCCTGAGTTCAAATCCAACCTCAGACACTTACTAGCTGTGTGACTCTGGGCAAGTCACTTAACCCTGTTTGCCTTAGTTTCCTCATCTGTAAAATGAGCTGGAGAAGGAAATGGTAAACCACTCCCGTATTTTTACCAAGAAAACCCCAAATGGAGTCACAAAAAGTCAGACACAACTGAAAAACGGCTGTTCAACAACACACATATATCAAATTATTCCTCCTAAGAATTCAAAGTAGTTCAGACATCCATTTCTGGCCCCTCTACTTTCCAGCTGCATAGCCATCAGCTACTTCTCTATCTGTCAAGCCAATGATTCATTTTTCCTTGGCCATGAAATAGCACCCTGGCAGAGAAACAGCACGGTGAATCTAATGGAGAAAATCTTGGCCTGGGAGTTAGGAGGTCTAGCCTCAACAACAGATTCTGTATAGTATTAATAGTAGTGGTAATGGTGCTGACGGTGAAGCGGAGTAGGAGTATATTAAGGCAATGATGACAAGAAGAAGACACCCCTTAAAGTCCAGATCATCTTTCATGTGGGGGTGAGGAGAGGAGAAAGGGGGGAAGTACAGGCCATGATGATATACAGCAAGGACTCAAAAGAAAAGACTCCTAAAATCTGAAGAGGGAAAAGTTGAAGACAGAGTTCATTGAAAATCTTCACTTAATATAAATTCCAGAAATTACATCTGATACTGAAATGGATAACAA